CCAGTGACTGATGTGCGAAGAAGTCTCGAGCGAGAGCGCCGTTACCGAAATCGGGGCCTCTCTGGCCAGGGGCTCTCGGAGGACCTATCGAGAAATATCGAACGGGAGCCCTTGTTGCCGTGTCCAGGCCTCCACCAACCTGCCTGAATTACGGGAAAATCTCGAGCGAGAGCGCCGTTCCTGAGTTCGGGGGCCACTCTGGCCAGGGGCTCTCGGATTACCTATGGAGTAATATAGAACGGGAGCCATTGTCGTCGTGTCCGGGCCTCCAGCAACTTGCCTGAATTACGGGAAAGTCTCGAGCAAGAGCGCCGTACCTGCGTTCGGGGTTTTCTTGGCCAGGGGCTCTTGAAGTAAATCGTAAGGAAATATCGAGCAGGAACCCTGGTCGTCGTGGCTGGGCCTCCGCCAACTTAAATCGCGAGGAAGTCTCGAGCAAGAGCGCCGTTCCTGAGTTCGGGGGCCTCTCTGGCCAGGGTGTTTCGGGGTAAATTGTGAGGAAGTATCGAGCGGGAGCCGTTGTTGTCGTAGCTGTGCCTCCAAGGGCCCACACTTAGGCCCAGGCCAACGCTCGAGCGGGAGCCTCGTGTTCAGAGAAAATGTAGCCGGCGTCGAAACGAGAGCGCGCGGAACAACCGTTTTCGGAGATCAGCAATAATGAAACGCTAGAAATCAATATTCCACCACAACAACAACAACAAGAACAACAAGAACAACAAGAACAACAACAACAACAACAACAACAACAACAACAATTACTAGCACGTGGGGACACTCCGTTCTCACCAGTGCCAGGGTTTTCATAGGAGGCGGGCAATACCCCCACTTTGTGGGGGGGCCGGTTCAAGCTCTACCAAATTTCCAAACGACTCTTCGCCACCACCCACACCCAGCTTCCCGCCCTATGACGTTCGGACACTTCACTTCGTGGCATGCGGACGACCGTGGCTACTATTCAGGGCCCCGCGGCCGACGACGACGGCGTGCGCGCGCGAAGAAAAAACGAATGTGTCCCGCATGGTATTATTTGACAGGGATGATGGCCCTGGCAGGTGCGCAACCGTTGTCGCAGAAGTTCGAAAAAGTTGCTCGCAAAAGCCCGTTTGACAGAAATGTTTAAAAAGTGTTGGGTTTCCTACGAATCCGCAAGAGCGCGCGGGATGAGATTTTGACATTTTTTTGTTGAAAAACCATTGGTTTTTTGATGTTTTTATGTTAAAATCGCTCGAACACTAAGGTTTTGGAAGGATTTCGTCTTGCGCGCGCGAATGTCCACTTTACCTTATTTTTTGCAAGGGATTCTTGAAATTTGATTATATTAGAACAAGAAATGTCATTTTATAGTGTTTTTTGCAAGGGAAAGCGGATTACAACAAAACAACCGGATCTTGATCACATCTTACCTGAGGCTTCCTCACGAAAATGATGAAAATGTAGCTGCGGCCTAGGCGGCGCAGGGGGGGCGCGCACCAGGGGGCCCAACAATAATTATTCTTTAGAATAAATAATGTTCAACAACAACAACAACAACAACAATCACTTTACCCGAACGCTCAGTGTTCTCACCAGTGCCAGGGTTTTCATGCGACGCCAGCCAATACCCCCACTTTGTGGGGGGGCAGTGCAAGCTCTACCAAATATCCACACGACTCTTCGCCACCACCCACACCCAGCTTCCCGCCCTATGACGTTCGGACACTTCACTTCGTGGCCTGCGGACGACCGTGGCTACTACACTGGCGTGGAGTACACACCCACAGAAGTTGTTAAGCCTACGTTCGTACACCCACAGAAGTTGTTAAGCCTTGTTAACCCAGAAGAAGTTAAGCCTTCCACAGAACATCTGTTGCATATGATGCATATGGTACATGATACACATGATACACATGATACGGTTTTTGGAGATTTCGGCGTGCGCGCGCGAAGAAAAAACGAATGTGTCCCGCATGGTATTATTTGACAGGGATGATGGCCCTGGCAGGTGCGCAACCGTTGTCGCAGAAGTTCGAAAAAGTTGCTCGCAAAAGCCCGTTTGACAGAAATGTTTAAAAAGTGTTGGGTTTCCTACGAATCCGCAAGAGCGCGCGGGATGAGATTTTGACAATTTTTTGTTGAAAAACCATTGGTTTTTTGATGTTTTTATGTTAAAATCGCTGCGAACACTAAGGTTTTGGAAGGATTTCGTCTTGCGCGCGCGAATGTCCACTTTACCTTATTTTTTGCAAGGGATTCTTGAAATTTGATTATATTAGAACAAGAAATGTCATTTTATAGTGTTTTTTGCAAGGGAAAGCGGGGGGGAACAAAACAACCGGATCTTGATCACATCGAATTACCTGAGGCTTCCTCACGAAAATGATGAAAATGTAGCTGCGGCCTAGGCGGCGCAGGGGGGCCGTGCACCAGGGGTCCCAACAATAATTATTCTTTAGAATTAATAATGTTCAACAACAACGACGACAACAACGACGACAACAACAACAACAATCAGTTTAAGACTGTTCGCTCATATCTGCTCACGCGCTACATCAAGACGTATATCCCAAACCCTCGGTACCCGCCCTCATCGTCTAGGGAGTAGATCTGCCTTACTTGCCACGTGTATTTAGTGCAGGTCCTAACATAAGGGAAGAGAGGACGGGTGGAAGGGGGAGGGAGAATAATGGAGCACGAGAGAAATCAGCAGGAGGGGGGCAATAGGCAGAAAACAAGTGGTAGAACCGAACGGGCAGATCGGGTGGGCAGACACATCGCGGGCAGGTCGGAAGGCGGGCCCAGGCGACGAGGTCGAGCAGGCAGGTTGCTGAAGCGTGGGTCCTGCATGAATCGCGAGGAAGTCTCGAGCGATAGCGCGATTCCTAAATAAACCGTGAGAAAAGCCAGCGTGGGCCACGAAGGGCATAAAATCCGAGGCCACAGAGGGCAGCGATGGGGCCGCTGAGGGCATCACCAGGGCCACGAAGGGCAGCGAGGGGGCCACGAAGGGCGACAGCGGGGCCACGAAAGGCATTCATATGGGGCCACGACGGGCGCGAACCAGCGGGACCACGAAGGGCATTCGTATACGGGGCCACAAAAGGCGACAGCCGACAGCGGGGCCACTGAGGGCAGCAAAGGGGCCACGAAGGGCAGCGAAGGGGCCACGGAGGGCGACAGCGGGGCTACGAAGGGCATGCGTATTGGGCCACGACGGGCGCGTGCGAGCGGGGGCCACGAAGGGCATATAATGCGGGGCCACAAGTGGCAGCGACGGAGCCACTGAGGGCAGCAAAGGGGCCACGAGGGGCAGCGAGCGAAGGCGACCGCGGAGCCAGTACGGGCTGCGAGGGGCATCGAAGGCGGGCGAAGGGCAGCGAGCGGCGACTGCAGTCAGTAACGGGCTGGTCGGGCGGGCAGGCCCCGACGGGCGGGTCGAGCGGGCGGGTCGTTGAAGCGTGAGTCCAGCTTGAACAGGCATCTGAATAAATTGTTCGAAAACGCGATTCTGCAATACATTGTCAAGAAGTATCCAGCGGGAGCCGCGATTCAATAGTAAATTGCCAGGAAGTCCAAAGCGAGAGCGCGATTCTTCAATACATTGGAAGGAAATATCAAGCGGGAGCCGCTGTTGTTGCAAACCGGGGGGCCAACGACACAGTTTGAGCCTCAAGACTTTCCCTGATCAAAAACAGGGTGCGAGCCCTGGGAGGGGCACTACAATCGAAAAAAAAAACATGTGCACAGGGCGGGAGGGATCAATAATAATCGTTCTTCAGAAATGAGAATTCAACAACAACGACGACGACGACGACGACCACGACGACTACGACGGCCAGGACGACGACGCAAGTTTATGCCTGTGTCGCCTTGTGTCCCTGGAGCTCTTCTTCCCTCAAAACGAGGAGTGGCGGCGCGCCCCAGGGGGGAAGGCCGAGGGAGCGGGCCTTCGCAGAGGGCTCAGAAGGCCTCTGGCCTCCTGAAAAGCTCTCTGAGCCTGTTCCGAAGCCGCAGAGGGCTTCTCCAAAGGCCAGAGGGCTTCTGAGAAGCCCCGCCGCCTTCCCAGAAGTCTTGTCCCCTCTCAGACGCCTGCTGGTTTGGGGGTCATAACTCGGCCCTCCCGTGGCCGTTCGGGACGATCTGGGCACCCCCGGGGCGCTCTCGGCGAGGCGCAGCCACTGGGAGGCATCCCGAGGGCTGGAACTTCGCGGAGAAACGACGAACACGCCCGAAACTCCCAGCCTCGCCCTCGCGGCGCGCTGCCGAGGAGAGCAGGAGGCGGGCGACGACGAGGAGCAGCGCCGCTGCCAAAAGGCCAGGGGTTGCCAGAGATGCTCCTGGCCCAGGCTGCCCCCAGCTTTGCGCTCCGTCTCGGAGCCCCCGGGGCCCTCTGGAGGGTGCTCGGGGAGGCCGTGGGTGCCTCCAATGGAGCCCCTTGCGGGCCCTCTCCGGGGCTGCGAGGAGCCGCGACTTCGACGGAGCAGCCGAGGTTCCCCGCGCTGGATGAAGGCTGCGCGACCACAAGAGCACCACAAGAGGACCTCAAGAACGCCGACGACGAAATGAAAAGTTGTGCCTCTTTGGCCACCGTGAGCACACCTTGGGCCAGGGGCGCTTCTAGCAACACCCGACCGACTGCACGCAGGAGTGACCCTGGGTAAGAGTGACCTCTGGTGCGCGGTTTTTGAGGGGCCGCAGGGGGGATCAAACACGCGCGCGCCAGGCGCTACTGCCGCATCGCGGTCGGCGATCGGGAGACCCCAGAGGTTGGGCGTCGCTTAGTGGAGGGCGGTAAGGGGGGGGGGGAACAAAGAAGGTGCACTTCTCGGGCCCCCTTCTGGGCCCTCGAGGGCCCATTTAGAGGCCCTCGAGGTCGCGAGGGCCCCTTTTCTGCAGCCCTCGCTACCCCCCCCCGTTGTTATCGCCCCCACGCTACACGACGCCCAAGGTGGGCCCGCACCAAAGCTCACTCCGGCGAATGGTCACTCTTGCGTGCAGCCGGCCCGCACACGGGGGGGGCGCTC